CCCGCGCGACATCCACAAAAATCCTCGCAGCATGTACGCGCGTGTGCCGCAGGCGATGGCGTAATTTGTTCTAAAAATAGAATTATTGTTCCATATCATAGGGACAACCCCAATACTAGAAATGGCGCGCGCTTACCGTCACCATCCCCGATTATGGCTCCTGAAATGACATAATGCTTAAAGATTAATGACAGATTAATTACAGGGGGAATGATACACTTTAAAAAAAAAACACATTCCAACTACGACACTTTTCAGATGGAAAACGGTCAAAGGACACTACTTAATCGAATAATTAAGACATGCCATGAGGTGGCACCAAGGAGCCTTTGATTTGTGCACGTACAGGTGGATAGGAGTCCCAGGGACGGGAAATTGTCTCCTTCTTCGTGCCCGGGGACGGGAAATAGGCCGCCGAATAAGAAAAAAAAAAAATTCAATTCCCCGGGGCTATGCCCGGGGAGGATGGTTACAGGTGGAAATGAATTGAACTGAATTGAACTGGCGTACGTGGAAACAAGAAGGGCAGCCTACTATACTAGTTCAGTTCAGCAAATATTGTCAGTTTTGCATTTGAAGGCTTGTGTCTGAATATTTATTTTATTATATTAGCTTTACGTGGTGTATACTTTTCTATGGTTTTGTGAAAAGCAACGTGAGCACGAAAGATTTTCTGAAAGTCTACAGTAAAACATTTCCTAGACCGGCGACGTTTTGTGCAAAATACACAAAAGGTATGCCGTATGATTTAGTACCGCTGACCACTAACAGAAACGCCTGGAAGAAAATCACCATGATGAAGCTATTTTTGCAGTCAAAAATATCTAGTTGATTTGCTACCGATATAGGCGACTTACTTGTGTAACTTAAGCGCTATGGTGCTCGCAGAAGGTTGGTTTATCAAACGCGGAGAGGATCTAATTGCCGCCTTGAAGTCCTCATCCACAAATGAAAAACAAGACGAGGCTGTTGCCAGCCACATCCAATGGATGGAAACAAACGATTCCACAAATATTCCAGAGTTTGATTCGAATCTGGAGTGGTTGAACTGCACTAACCCTCTATCATTCAAAGACCAACTTCAAGGGAAATTGTGCGTTTTGGATTTCTTTACGTACTGCTGCATTAACTGTATGCATATTTTACCCGATCTGGAAGCGTTGGAACATCTTTACTCTGAGAAAGATGGTCTTGTGATACTCGGGGTTCACTCCGCGAAATTCGAGAACGAAAGATCTTCTACGAACATTCTAAGCGCTATATTACGGTATGATATCAGGCATGCCGTTGTAAATGATTCCGAGGCAAAGTTATGGCACACCTTGTCGGTTCAGTGTTGGCCAACTTTAGTTATTGTGAGTCCTGAGGGAAGAATCCTTCTTAGTTTGGTGGGGGAAGGACACAGGGAAACACTGTTGCAGTTTGTGGGATCAGCGTTGAAATTTTACAAGCAGAAAGGTAGGAATGTGAGTTTGATATATATAGTTAATAACTATATGAGAACTTGGCCGTTTCCCTTATCAGTTTCCTGCTGAGTTCGTCTTCTTAACCCTTTACTCCCTAAGAGTGCAAATTGGCACACAACGTCATAACTTTGTGAATATTTGATAGATTTCTATGAATTTTTGCCCCAAAAATTGTCTTGTGAAGATCTGCTCGATGAAGTTATAAAATTTTGACCTCCTCCTATCAAAGACATGGTTGACCACCCCTACAAGTTTTTAGTTCCTTTTTTGGGATGCAATTGAATGTAAGACTTGTTTCATATCAAGCTATGCACTTAGAGCTGCTGAATAAGCTATAGTTTAGGGTTATACCTGATATAGTAGAAGATTGATACATTTTTGAAGTTGTTCGTTTTCCCATTTTAAAGCAATTTCTCTCAAAATGTCTACCACCTAAATAGCTGCTGATGTCAATTCTTAAATAAGCTGATTAGTGGCTTTCAAATGGCATATTGTACATAGGCAGAGTGTCTGAGGTACTGGTGTTACATGTACATGTACATATATATATGCACATGCACATGTATGTCCTATTCTGAATGAGTTAAAAAAGGAGTGACTTTTACTGTTCATGTACAATACATGCATGACTCAAATTTAAGTAATACCACCTTCCCACAAGATGACTCAGAACCTCGCCTTGTAAGACATTGTCATATCAGAAGATGACTGACTTGTATCGAGAGATGAGACACTTGTCTCACAACAAGCTTGAAAAACTGTAGAATACATCATTCTGTTTAAATTACATGTACACTGTATACTTGTAGAATTCACTTCTTTACCGTGATCTCCAACATTATTTCCATGAATCAGTTCTGTGACTCTTGCAGGAAAAGTGAAAGGCCATTCAATTGGTGTCTCTCTGGTCAAAGACTCCCTACCCCTGACAAGTCTGTCATTTCCTGGAAAAATATCTATGGACAAGAGAGGGGAAAGATTGGTAGTGGCTGACACAGGGCACCATAGAATCCTTGTAATAAACAAAGATGGAATCATTTTGAATTCTATTGGTGGAGGGGAAAAACATGAAGCTGGATTTGTGGATGGCTCATTTCAAGAAGCAAGGTTTCATTCACCTCAAGGAGTAACCTTTGACAAGGAAATTATTTTTGTTGCTGATACTGAGAATCATGCTATCAGACAGGCAAGTAATAGTGTGCATTCCCTATTTTACTTCCTATCAGCATGTTACATTCACAGAGTTGCTGAGTTATTAGATTGCTTTCAATATGGCGTGGCACCTGCCAGAATTCTGGCATCTTTTCTGTTATGAATTGCCATATTAGATAAATAATAATATAGCAGTTTTCAGAGCTTCGCCCTTTAAAGGAAGATGAATTATGGACGTCACAAACTGTTCTATCACTATGACAGCTGCTTCATTTGAGGAATCCTCTATATCAACTCTTTAGTTATTGAAAGTCCTGAGTTACTGAGTGAAAGCTCTGGCCTTCATCTCAAGTGTCTGCTATACTAGTGTAGCACCAAGCTACTGGGACTATTTCAGCAGCTCCTGCTAAATGACTTCTTTAAGTCTATAGGGGGGGGGGGAAGGGGGGGTCTTTCAGCTATTTGTCAGGCTGCCACAACATTCTATGAGACTGTTTGTGAATCTTTAGGGAGAGGTACTGTCATAGTATCATACCCAGTACTTCAGTGGCACTGGCTGCATTTCCCACCAGTAGTAAAACCACGCCTGCCACTGAAAGAAGCTACTTTTTGATCGTAAAAAAAATTTATAGAAAAAAAAAAAAGAAAAAGGTAAAAAAAAATAAAATAAAATAAAAAAATAAAACATTTATTTGTTTATGCAACCATCTTGAAATATTAATATACAGTCATGTACACTGTATGACTTACACTGTACGTACAGTTTGTTACGTGTCAAGTAAGGCGCCAAAAATGATACAACAGTATCAGCTTAAATTTGACCAGTGCTGTACATGTATGTATTTTGTATTGTTTTTACATGTACAGTTGTATAGACAATTGATAAATATAAATATATATTTTTTTGTTTCCTAACTTAAGATTAATCTGGAGAAAGGGACAGTCGCTACAGTTGCTGGCAATGGTAAGCAAGGAAGTGACAAGGAAGGAGGAAGCAATGGAACATCACAAAGCATCAGTTCACCATGGGATGTTACTGTGGGTCCTCCACCTGGTTTGTATTCAACTTTCTAACTGTAAAACCACTTTCAATGGTAGTTTGTTGTCTACATACAGTGTAATAATTATTTATGGTATGAAAGAAGTAGTCAGCCCGCAACCTACCCTTCACAGGGAAATACTCCTCGAAAAAGTTGGGAGTGGGGTAGGGGAGAGGGTGAGCTCAACTGGAACTTCACAAAAAGCAAAAACCAAAAATGTTTGTCCTATATTAAACTGCAAGGTGCTAACACCCAGTCTCTTCACAACTAGATGTATTGCCCACTAAATATTTTATGACTAAAAATGGTAGATAAAAGGTTGAGTGAGTGGAAGAGAAGTACATACCGGTACATGTACATTGTATATATGTGCAATCTTATGTGCAGACTTGCATGTTGAGGATTGATGATTAATGTTATTCTTCATCTTTCACTTTTCTCCTGTTTTTGTTTTTGTTTTTGTTTTGTTTTGTTTTTTTTTTTGTAATTTTGATCTGTTTGTCAGTTTTTCTTTCTCTTCTTTGATTTGTTATTGTACTGTAGCATTACATTTATTTCCAGTAATTCCATTAATTGTTTTATTTTAATTGTTTGTTTGGTGTTGTTGTTGTTGCATGCTCAACAAAGCAGGACGTCAAACTGCAGAGGATGATGGTGTTAGAGATGTTCTGTACATTGCCATGGCTGGCACGCATCAAATCTGGGCATTATATTTAAAGGATAGCACGTGGCTCAAAGGAGGGTCAGTAATACATGTACATGTAGACACATGTTGTCAATTATTGATAAGTTTTAATGATATATTTATTTAATAACTTGAAGACATGCTAAACAAGCTCTTTGATATACGTGTATCAAAAATTCCAATCTACCATCTCATTTATTATTGTTGTGCGGAAAAAAAAAGGCCGTAGATTGAATAACTTGATTTCATATAAGAAAGTCAAAAAAAAAAAAAAAATTATTATTACTGTGCCTTTTGGTGTAACTATTGTCACTTTAGTCTATACTCATTTTCATNAAAAAAAAAAAAAAAAAAAAAAAAAAAAAAAAAAAAAAAAAAAAAAAAAAAATCTAATATAAGAGAATGTAAGAAATGGTGAAAAATGTCCTAGGAAATACATGTTAGCAAATGAAGTGTTACATGTACATGTATAATACTTTTACTCTTAAGAGGGCACTTAAGGGGCAGTGACCTTGTTTCCAAAACCTTTTTCTCGTTTCTTTTTTATTTTTGTTTTGTTTGTTGGTTTGTTTATGTTTTTACACCTCTATATGTACATTACATGTTTGTCAATATATTGAGGGAGCCTGTATATTAAAGTAATCAAACTCTTAAATTGTTCCCAGTTCGAAGGTGCAAGGGACATGCCTCCGTTTTGCTGGCAGTGGTGCAGAAGAAAATCGCAATAACAGTTACCCACACAAGGCTTCCTTTGCACAACCATCGGGCATCAGTCTTGCACTGGAAAAACCTTTCAGGTGCCTGTTTGTGGCAGACAGTGAGAGCAGCAGTGTGCGGATGGTTGATGTGGGCAGTGGTGGTACAAAGGCTTTGGTAGGAGCAGACAGAGACCCAACAGTAAGTGTGAAGCAAATACTTGTACCATAAAGGTTTGAAAGATACCTCATAAAAACTTCAAGAATAGCGACATCTGAAAGTGGCAATAGAAAAAAAATTACTTATTCTGATATACATATAGGGAGCAATGTCCGCTAGTTTCAGAACTTTACGGTATACATGTACGTACGTGTTTGAGTTGTTGCTCATGTTAAGCACCGAATCAAAGATCAATAGTCTTTCGGAGTTGTCATGAAAACTATGTGTGCCCCTTACACCAGGCTTTACTAGCCTAACATTAGGGCTGACTGTAGAAAAGTTGTGTACAAAAATTGCCATACTATTGGTTTAAATCAAAATTTAAGAAACATTTCTTTCCTTTCCTGTCGTTTTTAGAATCTGTTTGCGTTTGGTGATCAAGATGGTAAAGGTGTTGATGTTAAGCTGCAGCATCCTTTAGGAGTGGCCTGGAATCCACATTCGCAGATGTTATACATGGCAGATTCGTATAACCACAAGGTACATGTATTTGACGGCTACATTTATTTATTTTTTTTTTATCATGTTACTTTGTGAACAGGCTTGGCACATTTCTTGGGACTCTTACAGAACCTTTCAAAAGTGGTTGTTCACTCTGAACAATCTCAAATACAATGTCGCAATGAAACAATTAGAACTTGAACAAACTAAAAAAATTGACGAATGCCATTCCTAGAGTGGGTAAACGCGTGTAAAGCAGTGTACGATTGGCTTTGTTCCTGAGTGGCAGCCAACATTTTGCTGTTTTCGGTAGCGAACTTTGGGTTGAGTTTTGAGTAGTACTTGTAATGAGTACTTTCTGCATTCATTAGGCCATTTCCCTGTTGTCTTTTTCCTTCTATTTCAGAACAAGTCCTAGTGTTCAATCTTTCGTATGGAAGCGATTTCTACTAAGCTCTTTCATCATAGCTTGAGCAACTACATGTATACTCGTTTTGAAAGTGCGGCGTATTAATCATCCCACTTACGCCTAAATTTGTACATTACCCTAAACCTCAGAGTACATGTACATGCATGAATACGATCTGAACTTTTCGAAACTGATTATTCCGGCAGATTAAAGTCATCGACCCTTTAAAGAAGACCTGTGAAACATTTCTGGGCACTGGTAAACCCGGATTATCATCTGGAGGAGACAGCGTACAATTTGATGAACCGGGTGGACTGTGTGTCAGCCCGGACGGACAGTTCTTATACGTGGCAGACACTAACAACCACGCCATTCGAGTAATTGACTTAAAAACGAAAACAGTATCACAGGTATGAAGTCCGTGAACTGTGTGTGTGGATGATTCGCTCTTTGAGTTTCATTGACTTAATAGTCCTCGCTTTTAAGGTACAGAGAAAAGTTCATTTTGTGTATATGCAGAATTCAGGCTTGTAGTTTTTGTGGCTGGTCTTCTAAGTTATAAAAGTTAACATGTAACATGTTCTTAAACTGATGTTAGGGCGGTGTCCAGTAGGGTGTCGTCAAACCAAAATCACTGAGACGGAAACAGTAAACACAACAAACACTCCATCAGAATCACCATGCGCGAGAAACTAGCGTAACTGAGTGGAGTGTCCTTTAGTTTTGGTTTTCGGTGGCGCGAGTTTTGTCAAGCACTTACAGGGGTAGGAAAGAAAAAAAATAAAAGCAATTTCGGATTATTTTAATTGGCGCTCTAACGGAGTATTATTACGTGTAGCTATGCAGTCAGGTAACAGATGCCATCTTCGGAAAAAATTCTTGAAAACTTCTTGAAACTCGAAAAACATTAGCCACTGTCTTTATTAGTGTAAAGGTATTGTTCAATATCAGATTTGGGTCGTTCTGCATCGATGCACTAAATAAGAAGTTTTAATGTCGTACCAGTCCCTGACATAATATATATTAAAGAGATCGTTTTCTTTCATAGCTAAATATCGTGGAACACACTCAAATTTCGAAGGATCGATCGAACGGCCAATCAAATGAAAAGCGCACTGTGGCAAAACGGTTAACTTCGAAAAGAACGCCAGCTACGTGTAAAGAACCAGTTCACGTGGCCCGTGGGTCGTGCCTGGACGTAAGACTTAGCATAAGTCTCCCCGCGGGATGTTACTTGACAAACGGTGTGACCAGTGATTGGCAGGTCGTGGTGTTTGAGCGACAAGAAGGTAAGAAAGGAAACTAGTTCTTCGAGGCAAACTAATCGCGGACAATCCTGGATTACTTGCCTATGTTGGGAAACCTAGCAAAAAATGGTGGGTTTAACTTAAATAGACTAGCATCCCATCTAAACAGGAATAGCAACCCGACAACAGTGCAGCTGCAAACAAATTTGCTTTCACGTTTTTTCAGAATATTTTCTCAATGTTGTGGTTTTAATTTCAGACAAAGACGTTTTCCAGGAGCGTTTTGAAGTGGAGTCCTCATCTGGTGTTCTAACTGAAGAATCCCTTTGTGCTGTCTGCAAGATCCGACTGCCAGATGACAACTGGCAACCACAAACCGTCGCGCTGGTTAGTATCAGCATTACGCAGGACTAGTCAAGGCTGTCTAATACAGAGAAAGATGCGTAACAGTTCGTACGGTCCTTATGGACCACTCCAGTTACATTCAGTCGATAAACCCCCGTTACTGAACCGTTGATTGCACCAAAACGTATTTTATGTCTTGATCATCTTCGCTGAGGCGTTGCAGTTAAAATATCCTTTTAAGACATAGATTACCATGTAGTCGGTCTGGTCAAAGACCACGAACTGTTGTAGTTCTTGGTAAGCAGTGGAATAGGTCCCGGCCCATTACCCCTGGGGATCCCGGATAAAGTGAAAGTGAAAGGAACTGAAATAGGACAGTCGAAGCTTACCCAAATGTTGCAATGTTTGAATTTAATTTTTTTTTCTTCTTACTTAGATTGAGGCAGTGATTTATTTCTGTGAGCCGAGCGGGACATGCAGAATGGAGGAACTTGTCTACGAAGTTCCGTTGCTCAAAACAGACGGAGAGGGAGAGAGTTCACTTCAGATAAACCACAACTGCAAACTATAAAATGAATTACATTTATTAGGGCCTGATAGTAAAGCATCTAAAGAAAAAAGCAACAAAAGCAGCGTCAATTATCTTACTATTATTTGTACGTTTTGAATGATGTCTGAGTTAGTTTAATTCATCTGTAAGAGTGCTGACAGCTAAAAGACGTCGTAGGTGACCTAGTACATATAGATCAGATCTTTCTTCATAGAGGATAGTTTCTTTCGACGAAATACAGTCACTTTACGTACTGGGATGTCATGAAGGGGTACTATCATGACCTTAAAATATTAATGCCCGAAAGACATATCTATGCATCAGTCAATTTCAGCAGTGCCCATCTTCCCCCCGCC